CTGGACCATTCTTTAATTCTACCCTATCAGAAGGGTCACGTACCCCCCTTCCAAATGAATCATCATGTTCAACCGAGAAGGGGGGCATTTATGATGCGAGCCAATTACTTGATCGAGAGTAATTGATACTCCAAGGGAGGATAAACACAAATTTACGACTTTCACGAATCATTGGTTGGATAGAGGCTTGAATCTATTCTTGGGTATGCTGCATTTCACGTAATTTCTTAATCATATTGGATTACCTAGCTAGAGATAGAATTGGACGGGACAGGAGCCCGTCCATCGTACAAGATAGGGAAACGGTTTTGCTGTTGGGTAAACGACGTTAAACAAGAACAAAACTGCATTCAAAATATTAAATCACAGAGGTCCCCAAAGAACATTGATGATGAAATAAAAGAGCATTTAAAATGCTGTTATATTCTAAAAAAAATTCTACCCATAAAACGCCTCTATGCCGAATAACAAAGAAAAGTTCCCATCAGATGCGAAACATCTCAAGTCTAACATCTTCGCTGTGGCCATGCCCAGAAGACAACGTCTATGAAGCAGCAAAATGCAAAAAAAGGAGGCCGGCCATGTTACCTCTGGTCTTCCATCATCCCATGCAACGCAACATTGTAGGAAAAGTTGTGCAAGAGCGGCGTCTACCCAGTAGACCACCACCCATGCTCCGTTTCCCCCTTATCTAATCACCATTTTTATGTTTCTTTCAATCTCCCAGCCGTGAGACGTAGGGGATCTGCTTCCCCGCGACCCATTTACTCCTCATCATCCGTGTCGGGAGGGTGGGGTGTTCCCTTGGGGCTGTTGAGCCACTCAATGTGGCGCAGACGTCTCCTAACCTCACGCTCCTTCAGCTCCTTCTTGGTCATCTTCTTCTTCTTCCTGGCCTTGAACTTCATGTCGGAGTTGTCCTCGACGCCCGAGTTGACGGCGGACGAGACGACCGAGTTGGCGGCGGTGCTGGCGGCGGTGCTGGTCACGCCGCTGCCGGGGCGGGAGTCCTCGAATCGGTCGAGGCTGACGGCGGCATTGCCGCGCTGGGCGACGCGGCCGTCGTTGACGTGCCACTGCTCGGAGCAGAGGGCGCCGACGAACTCCTCATTGTGAGAAATCAGGATGACACCACCCTTGAACTCGCGGATGGCGACCGCCAGACCACCGAGGGAGTCACGGTCCAAGAAGTTGGTAGGTTCGTCAAGCACGAGCAGATGGGGGTTGTTCCACATGGCACCGGCGATGACGACCTTGACCTTCTGACCACCGGAGAGCGATCCGATCTCGTTGTGGTTGGCGATCTCGGGGTCGAGACCCAGGTCCTCAAAGTGCTTGGAGATGACGGACGGCTGGAGCTCACGGTAACCCAGACCCTCGCGGGAGGCTTCGTGGTCGTCGAATTCCTGGATAAGCTTGTCGAATCCAAGTTCGCTGAGGGTTTCGCGAGAGATCATTGTGTTGTGCTTTGGCATGAGACCGCGCCATTTGCTATTTATTTCAAGTTAGCACATTTCATTGAACAATAGAATTCTCAAGGGGTCACGTCTTACACTTCATATTGGAAAGTCTTCTTGTACTTCTGACGACCGACAAGAGCCTCGACCTGTCGAGCGGACTTTCCATCCTTAAGATCAACAAATTTATCCATCTGCTCGCGATCGGCATCAGAGAGGGCACGAGTCTGCTTCATGTGGACTTCACGATCATCACCGTGGGCGTAACGCCACTGAAGGTACTGGTTGGGTGTCTTTTCCAAATGCATCTCCACGTGCTCAAGGGCGTGCTGCTTGATGTATCCGATACGGAGATTGGGGTGCTTCTCAACCTTGCCAGTGTTGGGGATCGTCTCACCAGTGAGCAATTTGATAAGGGTAGATTTACCCGCACCGTTGGGTCCAATAATGGCTACTCGGGATGATAGAGTAAGCTGGCACGAAACTTCGTGAAGTGAGGGTTTTGGTGCGTTGGGGTATGTGAATGAGACGTTGGACATGCGGATGATGGCTCTGGTCATCGATTTGACACCAGTCAAGATACCCGGGGGTGGGAACTTGAACTGGGCATTGGCAGCTGTGAGCGTGTAGTAGCTCTTGGCTTCGGGCCTGACCTTGACAAAGGCGGCCAGGTTGCCCTTGTAGCAGGCCAGCTTCTTGTTAGGCTCGTAGTGGTAGATGTCAGTGGTGACATTGTCCAAGAAACCCGAGTCGTGAGAAACGATCAAACTCGTGATGTCAGGGTGAGTCTTGAGATAGTTCTCCAGCCAGGCAACGTTGGCAACATCCAGATGGTTAGTAGGTTCGTCCAGGAGCAAGACGTCAGCTCGTTGCAACATAGCTCGGGCCAGAGCGAGCTTCATCTTCCAACCACCGGAGAGGGAGCCAACCTTCTGGGCTTGACGACCCTCGGGGCCAGGAGTGAAACCGAATTCGGTCAAAACCTCGGAGATACGCTCGGTACCCTGGGTGGCGATCTCAGGGTCCTTTGACACGAATTCAAGAATGCTGATTTCAGCATCTTCGCCCTGGTTGTGTTCCACGTAGCAGGTGCGAAGGACATCTTGAGGTGGGAAACCTTCAAGCTTGCCACCAGCAATACTCTTCATGAGAGTAGACTTTCCGGCACCGTTGCGGCCGCAAAGACCATAGCGATGACCCTTGAGGAGACGCAGGTTGGTGTGGGAAAGCAGAAGCATACCTCCATAGGCAAGAGAGAAGTCAGCATTGACGATCTCGATTTCTCCGTCGTCTTCCTTCTCGGGCACACCATATTTACGAGCGTCCTCGTCAGCGTAGTATTGTTGAACAGCGTCAGCCACCTGCTGAGGCTCCTTGGCCAAAGACTCAAGGTAGGGAGCAATGTGGGCGGAGATGCGCTCGATGAAACGGTAATTGACATCGATAGCAACCATCTCAGCGATATAAGGGCGGGCGACCTTGTAGAGATCGGCGCTGCCATCAAGCCCTTGGGCCTTCTTGATCTGCTCCTCAAGAATCTTTGAAACGTCGTCACCAGTGGTTCGAGAAACAACATCCTTTTCGTCACCCATGGCCTTCTCCATAGTGGCAAGAGCCCGGTTGGCAAGCTCACGGACTTCAGGGAGGGAAGCTCGGTCACAGACACCCTTAACACCAGGAATCAGCTTGGGAAGGAAAGTTCTGGCCTCAATAGGGTCGTGAACCAGCTTGGTAAGGTTTTCCACGATAACAACGGTCTGGCGGAGGACTTCTTGGGAGGTTGTGGGAGTGTTCAGCGATCGTTCAAGGAAGGGCGTAAGCAGGGCCAGAACAGGGGAAGTGACGATCGCCACGAAAGTAGTCTGAGACAAGGCGTGGATGGCCTTCTGGAGGGTCTGAGGGGATGGATGCTGCATAGTGTCGATAAGCAGAGGCAGGCGAGGGGCCACATCGTCGTTGGACAGAAGGGTGGTCAGCGAGTTCATGGTCTGAACAGCCTGCTTCTCAACTTCGGTCTTGAGGTCGTGCATTCCACCCTCGACAATGGGGATGAGGCCAGCAAGTTTAGCACCCATGGCCTCGCGGAGCAAGTCCTTCTCGACGGCCTCCTCTTTGGTGCCACCGAGGGACAGCTTGGCCTTGTCGGCCATCTTCTGGAGCAGCTTGTAGGCTCCGACAGTGCCTTGCCATTTTCCAGTCTTCTTGGACAGGTATTCGGTCAAGGCAGGGAGCAAGCCAGCGACGAGAGCCTCGGCGCTCAGGTTGGAAAACAGTGCATCGAGTCCGTACTGTGCAGACTCACGGACCACAGACCCCTTATCAGCAAGGGCGTCGAGCGCACACTGCACCATACCACCATCCTGAAGAAGGAGAACAACCTCGCTCAGCTTCTGCCTCTGGAGGAAGCGCTCGAAGACGGCACCAAGGAGGTTCTGGCTGCTCTCCCTCTTGAGGCCGCTCTTCTTATCAGCAGCCGCCTTCTTGATCTCAGCCAAGATGCCGTACTGGTTGAGGCCGGCAGCGCCGACCGAATTCAGCAACAGCTCACAGAGCCCATAGCTGGCGTCGACGGAAGCCGCAGAGGTTTGCGCCGTGAAAATCGTGTTCAGCAGCCCCGAGACAACCTCATGAGGTGGTGGAGGGGCTGCTTCGGTAGACGGCGGGGTCACTGGGTGAGGCATCGTAGGCGGGGCGGACGGGCGGGAGACGACGATAGAGGGCTGTCGATGTAGGAGTCGGATCTAAGTAAGTATCCGTGGGATAGACAAAGCGTACAGTAGCCCGGGCCTGCCGCCGATAAATTGCACCCTGGTGGTGAGGGAGGTTGTGAGAGAGACAGAGAACACTTTGGCGGGAGGCCCTGGGGGTGAGAAATAATTACCACTGTATTGGGCGGCGGTGCTCGCACCGAACAATGCCTGGGCTAGATGGAAATTTTTTTGGCCATTGGGCTTATCAGAGGCTTATCGCGGCTGACAAGGGGCTTATCCCTGTGAGCACTGAGACTTTGCATGTGCTTCCGTAATACTGACCGGGCCAACCAGATCCCCCCCAGTACCCACATGCTAGAACAAGCAGTTATGATGGAACCCATCTCCCCGATCTCATGCACTCTATTTCCCTGACAGATTAACTTCACACTTTCATCTCAGAGAGACAATGCAACTAGCCAAAGCACACAGGTTGGGTTTGCATTATGAGACCCTGGCAGACAGGACAGGGCAGTCATCATGATTCGCCCAAAGTAAGTAATTTATATATATGTACAGAACAAGCAGTAAACCTTAGGGACGATATGTATCCCATCCATTCTCCGGATAATAAACCCAGGACAAACCCCAATTAAAAATGAGACGAAAAAATAAAAACCATGGAGGGTATAATATAACAGCAAGAAAGTGCAGCATATATGATGTCCGCCGCAGCGCAGAAATGAAACCCGACAACGATGGCAGGTCTAATTGACGTGCATTCATTATACAGTAAACAGAAGTGAAGGGATGGCGCTAGTATCAAGTCGATGTGATGATAATCCTCGCTCTTTTATCGGTGCTGCTCTTCACGGAGCGAAACAGGACCTTGGAAGCCACTTGCAGTCGGTGTTGACACGGTCTGCATCTCCACGCCGAGTGCACTCTCCTTGGGTCTCAGGTCTCGCCTGATTCCCAGTCGTTGATCGCCGTCCTGGTATTTCGACTTGAAACGATAATAGGTTGGCGGCCGAGGTCGACATAAGACGGAAATTATGTTCTTCATAAAGTTGCCTTGCGAGAAGGCTCTGAAACGCTCCTTCTTGGCAAACTTGTGAGAGTTCATGTACTCCCGTGTCGTCTCTCCTCGCGCCATGAGGAAGATATGGTAGCCCATTAATGCGGCGGGGTAGAGCAGCTCAATTACTGCCAAGATAAGAAGGGCGAACGGCCCGCGGAAGTGGTTAATGGCCTGGCCGAATGATATTCCTTCCTCCTTCCTGTAAACAAGAAGCTGAACCAAACTGGTAGCAATGATGTAAAAGGCAACGAGAGTACCCGAAGTTACAAAGGCAAAGAAATAGCGGTAGTTGCGTTTACCAACGCAGTTGTTGAGCCAAACACAGTGGTGGTCATGGCCTTCAACGCAGTTGTCGCATAGTCGGCAGTGGTGTCCTCGAGGGGGTCGCCAGATGCTACACGTCCTGCAGTGCTTAACTGGAACCTCCATAGCAGCGGTTTGGGACTCGGCGGACTTGACCAAGACCCAATCATTTGTTCGGGGTCCAATCTGTAAGGGGTCCTGATCGTCTATATCTGGGAAACGATGAACGTTCCGGGGAAGAATCTATTAAAATTAGCATGAGTAAACGGCGATGGTCACGAATTAGTAGCACGTACCCCAGGATCTGATACAGATGCGTGAAGAAAAGAGGAAAAGCAGATGAAAGCGAGGTAGGCAAACACAATGGGAACAGCCGGCGAAATATTGTGCCACAACCAAGATGCCTCAAATCCAAAGAACAGGCCACACGGCAAGACAATGAACATCCCTGTTCCGATATTTACGGGTCTTCCGATAGTATTCTGCCATCTACCTCCAAGCCAAAACCTTGTGTTGCCTTCGAAATATTGATAGACTCGGCCGAGATTCGATGCTTGCCGTTGTGTAGCAGGGTCTTGGTTTGGCTGACCTCGAGACCCTATTGGGTTAAGTTTGGGAGATGATGCCCCAGAAGACAATTTTTCTGCGCCCTCTGTGCTTCTATTCCGGCCGTGCCCAGTGCTACTCCTTCCAGGCATCAAAAAGCTTGAGCGGAAGGATCGAGGAGTCTTTGGCATATTCTTTTCCATCTCCTCATAATTCTTCAGGGCGTGAACACTGGTATTGATCCGGTGTGGCTCCGGAGTCTTCCGTAGAGGCCGGACACTATCCGACAAGCTCCCTCCTGCGTAGTGGCCATTCGAAGGACTCGTGTTTGCTGTTACTCTGTCGTGCTCGGTGACTTCGGTCCCTCGGGATGGTGGGAGCTGGAGATTTTCGTCATCGTGGGGCGGGTGCTGAAGGCCGACAGGAGTGTGGATAGTTGCAGAAACTGGTGATGCATCCTGATGGATCACACTGCCACCAATATCGGTAGCCCCATCATCGAAATCCCCGGGAATGTCTATCGGTGAGCCCATCGTGGTTGGTCGCGAAGTTGCGCCTCCTCTATGGGCTTGCAACTTCTGAGAGCTCATCGGGCGGAAGAAGGCGTTGGACGTCAGGGAAGGTACGTGGCTCCGGCTTGCTATACTCCGTGTGCGGCCGTCGCCTCTCACACTGGAAAGGGACGTCCGCTTCCATGACGCGACTGAGTCCCTGACGTTTGGCGATGTCGCTACTGACCCGGAAACGACTGATCCCGCCGCTGTCACTGCTGTTCCGGGTCGCGATGTTCCTTTACCCATCGCAGATGTGCGGCCCTGGGCATCGATTTCACTTCGGTCGTCGCTGATCCTTGAGGACATGGCACTAGGTGCTTCAGATCTGTTGGAAGGCGGGACAGGGAATCCCCCACCGTCATTGCCGGTGGGCGATGTTGACGGGGACATGGCGGAAGATTTCGAGGGTGGTGGTGCCTGGTCGTCTATGACATAGCCTTGATCGACAGATTCACGTTTCGGGTCCTGCAGCACAATGATCGACGGAGAAATTTCCAAGCCTCAAGATGAAATCGCACGGGGAATGTTTTAAGAATGGCGTATCGTGTAGTCGGAGCGCTGGCAGATTATGGTGGTGAGTCCTCTCATCCAGGGGTCGGTGGCGTATAAGGTAAAAGGAATGGGGTGCGGTCGCGGAGGAGTCGGGAAGGGAAAAAGGCCGGGTTGGAAGAGAATGTCGCAGGTAGGGAGGAAAGAAGGTGTCGGGTGCGTGCGTAGGGGCATAAAGCCAAAGAGAGAATGAGACGCTGCGGAAAAAAGAAAGAGAGCGAAGCCTTGTGTGTGCGGTGTAGGTTCCAAGTCCAAGGGAGGCAGTAGCGCCTGGGCCTGTGATGTTGCTTTTTTTCGTCCCCCCTCGCTGACTGCGGTCGACTAACCGGGTCAATAGGACACTTTCGAGGAGCCAGTAGCTGATGAGCATGGGCAGCCGTCCCTGGCACGGCTCACCAACCATAGCGCCCAATACGACTGCCCCTGGCAGAGGACCTAATTAAGGCATCTTTTTCAATGCTACATCGCGATGCTACGTACTCCAACTTTACCTCCAATCACTCGATCAATAGGCCTCGAACTGCCGCCTCTGGATTCCGAGTGGTGTATCATCGCGTGCCGCTCAAATGACGTTGGAGCGGTCGCAACCACCCACACCATCTCCTGTCCCACAGACTCCCTGAGTGACACAGAACTTGCATAAACTCATATAATTGATACCTGCCCCCTTAGTAAGGAGCTGAGAGTGCTTGCATGAGCTTTACATCTGGATGCGCCCATGGCCAGGTACGTCAGGCCGATTCCCTAGTCGTTATTAGCTCAGTGCAAATTGACACCTCTCAATACCTTGTTGGTTAGTATGTCTTAGAATTACAGCCAACAACTGCTGATCCCTATTAGGCGTTGTGCTGTGACTGACAAGTGGGTGACATGAGAAATGAGACACCAAAGGAAAGAGTTAGCTATTAATCAACTACTTTCTGCAAGAAATAGAGAATTTCAGAAGTATAAAATAGAAGAGAGGAATAATAAATACAGTATTCTATATTATTAGGATTCAATAATCCGATAATACCGGTCGCAGACTTGGGAATAAGCAGCTTATTGTTTGATCTCAATTTCAATGTCACCCACTGGACTGATTACTTTAGCAACGGGGAATCCCGCGACCGAGGGAGGGACCACAAGCTCTTGATGCCTAAAATATAAGGCAACAAATAGCAATCCCCAGCTGCCACCAAGAAAAAAATAAAGAACGTCATGATGATGACTGAGCAATCACGTGAAGCGGCAGTCCCCATGTGCGCCGCATTGGCCAATGGCAGCTCGAGCAAAGATGGTGCTTCAGATCGATCATACGAGCCTCACCCGAAAGGAAGTGCCCCATTCCGGTCTCACCCATTGACTTCCTCTCCTTCGCATCACGCTACGGACAAAGCAAACAAACAATTCTCACAATGGCCTCCCGCATCGTCTCTCGTCGTTTCCTCTCCACCACCGTGCGCCGCCTCCAGGAGCACGAGAAGCAGGAGCTCAAGAAGGAGGCCCGCCGCAACCCCGAGACCCTGGTGCGTCATAATGCCAAAAACCGCCGGCCCAGCTTCTCTTCTTCCTCCAGCTGGCCGGCACCCTTCCCCAAACCCTCTGGACTAACAATTGACTTGCAGGTCCTCGGCGGTGTCATGGTCGCCGCTCTCGCCGGTGCTGGCTTCTACTTTGGTGCGGCAATCCCAAGCTACTGAAGCCCTTCCCGTTCCCCGTTGAGGCCATCAGACTAACAAGTTCACACACACGCAGGCCGCACTCCTACCTCCAGCACCTCTGAATCCCCCGTCGGCATCGCCAAGGGCGGTATGCCCTGGGAGACCAACACCACTGGCAAGTACCAGTACCACCCCGGTGGTGACGCCAGCCAGGCCCCCAAGGACGCTCCCTCCGCCCTCAACAGCGTCATCGTCCCCAACGTCACCCTCCCCGCGGAGCTCCACGAGAAGTTCAACAAGTTTGGCAAGGACGGTTACCCTTAAAGCGGGGGAAGCCCGTTGCAGTCGTTTTTTTCCCACGGGCAAGCCTAATGCCCTGGGGACTTAGAAAGCAGGAGGATACTATCATCCCATGTAGATATATTGCTTTGTCAGAGAAACACTTGCCAGAGCTTGATTGCGGCGACGAAAATAATTCCTTGGAAACTCGTATGTGTTTTCTTGCATGGGTGTGAGAACGGCTGGTGATTGTAACATTACATATGCAGGACTACGTATTGCCTCGGTGGTGTATGTCGATACTACCACGCATTTCGATCTAATAATCGATATACCTATAGGATATAGTGAATGACGAATAAGTCTGTTACAGAGAGGGGGGCCAAAGAATCCTCTGCCCAGTAAACCTGTTAGTTATCGTTTCTTCATTATATCATACTATGCAAACAAAGCATCCTTGGTAGAGCTTCTGTTGAAGGCACCCGCTGCGACAGATCTACGTCCCATTCTCTATGCCGTGAGGGACTCTATCTCCTCCACCGTGAAGCCAAACAGATACAGCAAATCCAGCAGGCTGTCTCCGTTGAGTCTGACATCCGCCTCCATCTGCACCCTCGGCTTTGCGTTCCAGGCCACGCCAAGCCCGGCCTTTTCCAGCATGAGCAGGTCATTGGCTCCGTCGCCGACAGCAATGACCTGCGACAGGTCAATGTTCTCCTTGGCCGCAATTTCAACAAGCAGGTCCCGCTTGCGCTCCTTGCCCACGATCAAGCCCTTCGCCTCACCCGTGAGCTTCCCATCCTCAATGACGACCTCGTTTGCGTGCGCATAGTCAAGTCCCAGCTCACCGGCCAGCCAGCTGGTCAGGGGCAAGAAGCCACCAGAGAGCACGGCAATCTTGACACCCAACCGCTTGAGCGCCCTGATCAGCTCCTTGACGCCATTGGTCACGTCCAGAACGGGGCGCAGGTCCTCGAAGATGGTGGCAGGCAGGCCCTTGAGTAGGCGGGCACGCTCGCGGAACGAAGCGTCGAATTCGAGCTCGCCCAGCATGGCCCGGTGCGTGATCTCGGCCACGCGCTCTGCAAGGTTCGGCGGGTCCTTGATCGTCTCTGCCAAGAGATCAATGACCTCCTGGGTGATGAGGGTGCTGTCCATATCGAAGACGACGAGGCGGGGGTGTCTCCGCCATACTGACTCGCGCTGGAGGTTAACATCTACGTTCCACTCCTGTTCGAATCGATAGATCATTTCGTGTTTGCGCAGGTCATTGAGGGAGAGGTATGACGATAGCGGTGCTGGGGAGAAGGACAGCTCGACAACCCTTGGGTTCTCCTGGTTGTCCATGCACCTGTGGGACGAGTGAGGCTCATCAGCCTCGGATGGCATAGGGAACGTCGACATGAGATGGAGGAAGGAAGTGATGCAGAGGGGCGAGATGTAGGAGCCATAGATGTGATCGAGCTGCTCTGATTCCTGAGTAGGCGGCTCGAGGGGGAAGGCATCCATGTTGGTGGTCGGGGCCATGTTAGGGGGGAGGGTCTCATTGCTCTCGGATGCGGAACCCTTGATGGGTGACTTGGGAACAGGGCTGATCGCTCCCTTGGGTTTCGACTTGTAGATGAGCGTCGCGACGAGTCTATCGGCGCTTGCGCCCTTGGACGGGGTACAATTCGGGTGCGAGAAGCTGTAGTTCACCCCGCTGTCGACAATCGTGGGAGGGGCATCCTCGGAGGGTACACCACGGAAGTGCTTTGGCGACGGCGCCTTGGAAGGAGAAAGGTCTTCAACCACGGTATCAATACCATGATGAGCGTCAGGCTGTCGGGTAGAACGAGTTTGCTGGTGATCACTTAGGTAGGAGCTGCTCCGCATCGAGCTAGTCATCTGCGGTCGCGAGACAAACTGCTTGGAATCATCGACGGAGGCCATCTCGGCGGTGGTAGTGGGGTAGGATGAACAGGGAGATTATCCAAGATCTAATAATCTAGGCCTGCAGCGGGATGGAGCAGATGGGATAGGCGTCAGGCTTGTCGCTGTTGCAGCAGTGCCAGTTCACGGGGCAGCGGGATCTGAAGCGGAAATTTTGTCACCGGCTGCTCGCGAGAAGCTGCACAGCAACAGTCTAGTGAAGGAACCAGACCTGACGATCGCGATGGAAGAACAGGAGCCCCGCATCAGCTCAGCGGTCGATGCTTTTTTGTTCAATTACCCCGCCAGGATGTGCCGTTCTAGCCCAATCAACACCCTGAGAAATATTTCTGGCAGGTCTCCGCAATTGGTCAGAATTGTATTCGCTGGGTCATGGCCAGGTACGACTAATTTTCGTATCTCTTACTGGTGCTCCAAGCGCTGCAACCGCGACGTTTGCTCCGGAGTCAACTACCTTCTACTCTTGCTTCAATCTCAATTATCCAGGCGACTATGCGTGTTGGCTTACCTGTATTAGATACGGCATCGAACACGGAGAAATGGCCGTGTCTTGCCATCTCTGCGCATCATTAAGCTCTGGTTGCGTATATCCAGGAGCTTCGGGAATGTATGAGGTCTACACAGGCAGGCCAGAATATCAAGTCGCATACTTGCACAAGGAAGGCTTGGCTGCCCTAGAAATGATTCCTACCAATAACCAGTAAAGCCACAAAGACAGGATATCGTCAGGAGATTCGGACGATTGAAAGTATAGCAGGGATTGGGTTTTGCTCGACTGCCACTACAATCCCAACGCACGAGGAAAAGCAGCATAATGGACATCTCCATCGCAATGAGCGAGCGCAAGTATACGTCAGCATTATATACCGCCATCAGCCTCCAGACCAAGCTCCATCGGCGGCATTGACGATGCAATGTGCCGCTGGCGAATATAGGGTAGGGCTGTTGGCAGGATGGCCCACTTTGCTGTTGTCATCGCACAGATGGAGGCACGTGGGGTGACAAATGCGAAGACACAGAATTCAATATTTCTCAGCAATGCTCAATGGCGCCCTTGTTCCGGATACAGAAGAAATAGCCTGTTGGGAGATTGTCAGCGAATCGAGTCCGGAGCAAGCCGGTCCTGATTAATATAAGGTCTTTTCACTTTCCGCGGGCATTGCTCAGCGTTCCGGTGCTCGGCCCCGACGCCCGGATCACATCAGTACAGCCGGAAAACTGCAAATTTTGACGGTATAGAGCCACCGATCCGAGAGTGGGTACGCTCACAAAAGCGGGTTGTGACGTTGTGCGGTTTACATGCCCAAGACGCCAAACATTCCAGACATTGCTACGATGCTAATCATGCCACGTCCCGTGAACACGCCAGAAGTGTCCTCTCCTGGAGTGATAACTGCGTAGTATTCTGGAGACCGCCCTGTTAGAAGGCCTGATGAAGCGCCCGGCCACCAACTTCCGAAACGGAACCTTGACCTCCAGATGCCACCGCCACCATGAGTCCAACGGACTTAAGTAGAGAAAGCACTTCTGAGATGCCGAAGAAGATCGATCCGTCCTCTCCGAGATCCACCGGGAGGTTTGACTCCCTGTTTCCCCAGCCCGATAGCCTTTCAACCTCCAGTCGTCGAAACTGGGGCAGCGAAGGTATTGAGTACTTGCTCGACGCTAGTGGAGTGGCGAGTCAGAAGTGTATTGTCTACCGAGGCCAAAGCCTTCGGCGGCCGTGGCGAGCCAATCAGAGCCTCTGATCGGCCATCGCGAAAGGCATAGCGTGGATGTCGTGCTCGCATCATCAACTTCAACGACTTGCAGGTTTGCCTATTGTTTCCTTCCCAGGATACCGGCATCGATTGCGCCATAACCTCTGGCCCAACGATGGGCCACAGCATTAGGCCTCTCATTTGTCTATGCCCTTCCGTGAATAGAGTAATCAGGACCCTCGGCCCCATTAGTAAGGTCGTCTGTAGTGTAGGCACTCACTTCCTTGGCAAAAAGCCCGACTGGAGGTGTAATATTAACCCCTCCCAAGTCTGTTCACCATTCTTATTCTTTGATGCCCTTCATATAACGCTTCCTTGGCCTCTGACATCAATATATCCCACTTTGATCTGTATGACAAAGAGTTAGTCACGACGGCATCTCAGGCATAAAGCATCATAAAGCCCCCCGGAAACAAATACACAACCGCTTTCCGAGCCGAGATCCAATAATACAAACCCAACCAACTTCATTCACAATGGCTGTCGAGATGTCACAATCGACCCAGTCGTACCGAAAGGAGGATGTCGAAATCGACTCCGGATACACCTCCAGCCACTCCGACTATTCTCCCTCATCATCAACTCAGTCTCTCCCTCTCATGTCTCTCACAGCCGCTCACCTTGAGCACCTCAACAACCAACTGGAGCCCATGCACCCCATGGACATCCTGCGGTTCTGCAAGATCATGTTCCCCAACCTGTACCAATCGACGGCATTCGGCTTGACCGGTCTCGTGACCATGGACATGCTGTCCAAGATCCAGGACGAGAACCCCGAGTCCAACCAGGTGGAGCTCATCTTCCTCGACACCCTCTACCACTTCAAGGAGACCTATGACCTGATCGACCGCGTCAAGGCCCGCTACCCCAACGTCCCCGTCCACGTCTTCAAGCCCCACGGCGCCGACAACGTCGAGGAGTTCGAGGAGACCTACGGCAAGGAGCTCTGGAGCACCTCGGACGAGCTGTACGACTGGATCATCAAGGTCGAGCCCCTCCAGAGGGCGTACGACGAGCTCAAGGTCGCCGCCGTCCTCAACGGCCGCCGCAGGTCCCAGGGCGCCGCCCGGGGCTCCATCCCCATCGTCGAGCTGGACGAGGAGCGCGGCATCATCAAGATCAACCCCCTCGCCACCTGGTCCTTCGGCCAGGTCAACGCCTACATCAAGGAGCACGACGTGCCCTACAACGCCCTGCTCGACCAGGGGTACAAGTCCGTCGGCGACTGGCACTCGACCAGCCCCGTCAAGGAGGGCGAGGACGAGCGCGCCGGCCGGTGGAAGGGCCAGAACAAGAGCGAGTGCGGCATCCACAACAAGAAGTCCAGGTACGCCCAGTTCCTGGAGGACAAGGAGCAGAAGGCGGCGGAGGAGCAGCCACAGCAGCAGCAGGCCGACGTCGCCCAAGTGGTCGAGCCTATCCACTAGCGGCGTGCGAAGACGAGCATCTCGGCGGTTTCGGTGGTGCGGGTTGGTTTCATGATTTTATGATGGAGAGCATTGCATCCGGCGTTACGGGCACAAAATTGGGTGAAGCGAAGGGCTATTTGCTTTCTTGTTTTCTGGGCGCAAAAATGTTGGTATCACCGACGTCTGGCGTTTTAATTCTTGAGTGACGCAGTGCTCGATCTGGAAATATTGTGGATCGGGACTGTTGTCAGATATGTACCTAGATCAGCTTCGCATATATTAGAAGAATAGGAAAATATTAGTTCAAAAGCATGATGCTTGGCAAAAATGTCTTGCGACGACCTGGGAAATGATGATTGCGTAACGTTTTGGGGTGAGTTGAGTGACAGAAGTCCGCATAAGAATAGCACCTGCCATCGCTGCAATACCTCGTGCCTCTACCCCGCGTCAAGGTGAAGATAGGTGGGTGGTCTGCTATGGCGCTAACAGGGCTCGCACCACTTTCCACACAAGTCTGATAGAGGCTTATTTCCAACCGCCAATTCTTTTTCATTGGTTCCGGAATCACTTTCTGTCGGAGATAGTTAGGGAATTGTGGAACTCTCGTGATCTTAGAACAAGCTGCTAGAAAAAGGTGCGATGCAGGCACTCCCGTCACCACCGGCCAGCTTCTTGGGCAAGAAGACCAAGATCCTACAGCAGCTGGCGGTCCCTGATTCTGAGTACGCAGATGCGTCTCCGAAGGGGTCTGTCGACGTTGGAATCCGCGATCTGATCGCAGAAATCAACGAATTCGAGGGCCTAGTAACAACGAGCAGCTGTGCAGGGAGAGTGAGTGTTTTCCTCGAGGGGAGAAAGCATTCTGAGGCTGGCGACGATGAGCGTCTAGCCCAGACCACAACAGCCGGAGTGGGAGGGAAAGGAGGTGGTGGAGCGTGGCTGTTTGTTTCTCATGATCCAGTGACAAAGGGTGATGAAACCTGGTTGAACTCCCTTGAACTATTGTACCCAGAAGAGGCTCATAAAGAAGCATCTGAGTCTCAAGGAGAAAGTCGTTTAATTCATTTCAAATTCGAGCCCATGGTGAGATATGGAGAGACATCCATGACCTCTTTCATGCCAAAGAAACAAGTGAAACTGATATGTGAGCGTTTTAGATTCTTCACGTTCTTTCGGCATCTGCCGCTCACGCCCAACTTATCCTACGCTGTGCTCTACAAGCAGGATTTCGAGAGTCAGGCGCTGTGAGCCTGACTCCGTCAACAACTGAACAGCAACCGACCCCGGTGGTTGCGATCCGGTCAATGGGTCTAAGCTTTGAGTCGTTAATTGGATGCCAGATCGGGGACCGGAGAGCAAGCTTCGTTTCGCAAGACTACCTTCGGATCCTGATGTCCATCGCTACAGAGCGATTTGCAGAGAACACTAAGCGGATCGAGAGATTTCTTTCTGCTTTTCGAGACGCAATCTCCACCCCATCCTCCATCAGAAGAAAGCCAGATGGTGAGGAGTGGGAAGATGCAGCTGAAAGACGGGAAAGAAAGCGGGCAGAGGGTCTAAGAAGAAAGGCAGAGCTTCAAGCCGAAAAAGCCAAACAAGACAACACACCTAATGAGCCCGATGAAACAAATGTAGATCAAACGTCAATCGAAACGTTTCCCACCTGACTCTTAACAAGATCAGAATAAATAAATAGAACGAAACAAAGGCTTAAATAAAAGGCCAATCAATAATGATCTATTGTGTTACTGGGCTCTCAATCGTCAAAAGTTCCCATAATATACAATTCCGTACTTTATTCGTCCACAAAAATCCATCCCTCCCAGAGTTTTACCCGCTCGTTTTTTACGAGACCACCTTGTTCACCCACTGCTGCTCCAGCTTCTTGACCTCGACTTTGAACTTCTCAACCTCCTCGTAGCAATTCAGCGGCCGGCGGTCGTTGTCGGTTAAGCACTTGATGACCTCGTTCCTCGCGCCCTCGACGCTCTCGGGGAGGGTCCGGACCTGCTTCCTCTCCTCGAGCTTGCGGCGGAACTCCTCGACCTGCTTGCTGACCGTGTGGCGGCTCTGGCCCTCCTCCGACTTGTTCTCGTTGGCGGCGGCGGCGATCTTGTCCTGGGCCGCCTTGAGGGCCTCGGACTCCTGGTTCTGGAGCTTCTTCAACTCCTCGGCCACGCGGGCCTGGATCTGGATCTCAACCGTTCGGGCACGTGAAGCATCGGTCTATATATCAATCATTGCCGAGTTAGTTGGCTTGTAGTAAAGGCAGTGGAGAGGGTCTGTGTGGAAGGGATGTTGTTCTTCCAGAGACTCTTTTTCGTAGAATCGAGGAGGACGACACATGCGAACAAGGGAACCAGGTATATACACACCTCAGGGTTGGATTGCAGGGAATCGAGGAGATCGTGGGAGACGGAGCTGGGGCCTGAGCTGTTTTCGCAAGTTAGCCTTGGCCTGCGTTTTGTAGTCAATTGAGGAGAGATAATCGCTTACGCCTTCCAGATGTGCCCGGACAAACTGGGCTTGGACTCACTGGCACCCATTTTCGCTTGGTCAATCGGTCTTTAAGGACTTCAAGCTGGTATTCCGCGCGCTCGTGATGACGATCTGGAAATTTCCGGACCGTGAGGCCGTCCCGCGGTAATGGAGCTTACATAATAATGTCTTGTGTTTTAGCTACCCTAGACGCCTGCCTTAGCCATCAGCCTGAACCGGAAACATGGCACCTAAGGCTACGAGCCGTGTATCAGACATCATTGTACTAAAATTTCACAATGGTGATAAAATGTATCAGAGTTGTAACGAAAATCCGGCTTGTTTATCTTTTCTGATTGTTCTTGCTACAAACCAAATAATACAAAGCTTACAACTTGTTATGTACTCAGCCAAGTGGGTGACATTGAAATTGAGACACTCAAACATTAAGCTGCTTATTCTCAAGTCTGCGACCAGTATTATCAAATTATTAAGTGCTAATAATACATAAGGTACTTGAGAGATAGAATATCAATTCTTGTATCTTAATTCCATTCTGTATAACTGAATTTCTTGATTTATCGCGGAAAGTACTCGATCTATAACTACTCCCGCATTAGGTGTCTCGTTTCTCTTGTCACACCCACTTGTCAGCCTTGAATGACATGGGTGCCGTGGTGTGCCACATTTTCTATCATCCACATGGCTAGATCAATAAGGCACGTATTTAACATTTTCGTCGCATTTACTCATTTCTCTAACGGTTCGCTTCCGCTGATCTGAGAGCTGCGACGCTTCATGCCTCTCGTCCTGTGCACCACTGGCTCCTCGCCACTCGCTTCTCCGGCGACCTGTGGTTCGTTCGCCAGTTCTCGTTCCAGCGGTGCTGAAATGGCGTCTTCGGCCTCTCCTTCCGACAGGTTCATCTCACCCCCAGCCTCGTTGTTAAAACCTTCGGCATTAGTTGCACCCATGCTTTCGACGGTCTTGACTACGTCGGTAGCTTCCATAGCTTCGTCGAGGGACCCGCTGAATGCGCCGACAGCTGTGCCAAACATGCCCGTGTTGTCCGTCGCGCTATTCAACCTTTGGATCTCTTCCGTCAACCTTTCGATCCCCTCCGTCAGCTTCTTGTTCCTTTCGATCTCCTTCGTCAGGAGGGTATTTTGCTGGTGCAGTCGTACGTTCTCGAGGGTAATTCGCGACAAATCCCCGGGGTTGACCGTGCTGCTGCTGTCTAAGCTCGATTGGACGATCCGTTCGACATCCTCGCGGGTTATCGTCTTGCTTTCCAAGCGTCTGATGTAGTTTCCGACGTATTGGGCACCCTTCTTCAGCCTCCATCCGAACAGTGTCCACGCGTGCTTGTGATACGAGTCCGACGACCTCAGCGCCATAGCGTGTGCATGATTTCCCAGTTGATATAGTGGATCGCATGTCCAATTGAGGACGTAGGGTACAGTATCTTCGATTGTCGAGACACATTCGGCTAGGTCTTCGTCGATTCGTCTCTTCATGTCTGCTTCGATGTCCGCGCGGCCGACGAGATTTGCCCACATACGGATATTCTTTTTCGTCTCTGGTGATAGTACGGACCTCTCTTCTGGTTGGATTGCGTCAATTTGGCCTTCCAAAGATCTCTGGTCCGCAAAGTCAGAACACATCAGTTTGCCGAACAGATCCGCGTGTCTGTGTTCGATGTGTTCTCTCTTGATTGTGATATGGACCTTGTATGTACGGGATGGCGGACGTGTAACTGCTGGGTCCATCTCTTCCGATGAGTCCATGGCCGCGAGTAAGCCCATGATGTTTTCTTCAGGTCCTGTGAAATCCGTTTCGACTATCTCCGACTGTTCGTCTTCCGCGGCATTCTCGGGTTCTCCGTCCGCCTCATCCTCTCCGTCCGCCTCATCGTCCTTGTTCGTCTGTGGCTTCTTGGTTGTCTTTTTTGGTGGTTTTCTCTCTCTGCTCTCTCGAGGCAAGACGTTTCCGATGCAGGATAAGTGCGGTGGGCAATTGTTGATGACCAGAAAGTGTTCCTCGTTCGACTCATTGAATGCAGCCGCTGCCGTCGCTGCCTTTTCGAACAGATAGTAGTGGTTGCATAGGATTGTAAGTCGGTCGGTTGTCCCCCATCTCCCCAGCTTTCTGATGTATCTTGCTGCCACCAGCACTGCGATCAACGGCCATGGGATCATAAGATCTTTTCCATGTTCGTCGATCAATTCGCCCATTTCTTCGATCTTCTCAGTAATATGCTTGATCGCGCCGAACTTATGGTAAAATGTCTTATCAAGGAGATGGGTTGACTTCATTTTTTCGATCAGCGCTTGGAACGCTTTCGGGTTCCGATCCAGATTGATACCAAGGATTGTGAAGACATCCTTTGCGATGGAATTTAGGAGCTGTCCCACCTGTTCGTCCGTGTAGGTTTCTATTGACTTGCAGCTTTTGTTTTCGACGGTGTTCTCCTCGTAGTCTGCCGCCAGTTCCTCGATATTTACGCCACTGAGCTGTTCGGTGAAATCAACGCGTGGGAGAATGGACGAAGACATATCCGATGGATTTCGCGCCGAAAGTATCTGATGTCTGGTTTCGCGGCGAAATGAACTTGTTTTGGCATGTGCAGTGAGATGTGAGAAAGAAACGTAATGGCGTGAGTTTGGGGAGCGGGTGTGGTGCTGGCGGTGTTGCGACACAGCTTTCTGCCTGTTTTGCGCCTATTGTATGAGAAGTTTCGGTGGTCTACCTCTTCTTCCCACTTTGCGTTCACTAACTTCTCTCGCTGCCCCTTTCTGCCTTGTTTCTGTGGCGCGTCCTGCGTTATATACTCTGGCTTCCTTCGAATTCCGCCACCAGGTCCGAAGCCGTTTCCATTAACTCGTCGGATTCAATAAGTTCATTATACTTATACCTGAATCCTTTCTAATAGACGCGATATTTTTATTCTCTTTTATATCAAGGACTGATTCAACGATTATATTGATTTCCTATTGCTCTTCGTTCTCACTGTCGACCTCGACTGGTTCGACGGGTTCTATTTCCCTGCTGTATAGGTCTTTCTCTTTCGACGCAGGCAGGAGGTATATGACTGAAGTGACAGGATGTATTTTGAACTTTTCCAGCAGTATAAGTTCATATACTAACGGGCCCTTTCGCTTTTTAATCTCGAACGGTCCGGTATATTGTTATAACTATTTGCATGGAGGTTTCCCTGGCAGGCTGATTATCCTCCCTAATAACTCCCGGTGATATCCTGACGTTTCCTCACTCCTTCTACCAAATTCTAAAAAGTCCTGAGACAACCCTTCTTATACTTGCTACCAATACCCAAAATGAAACCACCTATCCCTATTATCCTGATACCGTAGAGCGGACCAGGGGAACCTTGATCATATGGCTGGAGCATGGATAGCGCCACACTTTAATGCGACATGAAATGTGGCTGAGAAACCGTCAGCACCTTGCATTGTCGCCTGCTGAGCAATAGGTAGAGATCAATCATGCGCATGCACAAAAATAGCATTCCCATCAACGAGAAACACGCAACCAATCCCATTATGCCACACAACCTCGGGGCTCTGCTCTTGGGTGTTTCAAGAGCTATTCTGGCTGCCGTAAGCGTGCTCAGGCCCAGTGGCCACAACACCCACGTATTATGTGGTTTTTGCACGTTTCAGTTTCCAACTATTGAACTCGACTTCCTAAACGGGCGGTGGAATTATCCGTCTGAAGCTTCAATCGACTCGGGCCTCTCCGCTGATCAGTCTTCCCGGTTCACCTGCCAGGCTCAGGTAGATTTATTAGCCCCTGCCAGAGAGAAAAGGACTAGAAGGAACAAAAGAATTCTTGCTTCGGTTTCCAAATCCCCCACTTGTAAGACAGGTGACGGAGCGCGTGGATTTCTTCTCTCGCCCTTGAGAATCAAATCTTGCATGCCAAGATCCTAAGCCCGCAGCCACCCACCGCACCGCAAGACGCTGAGGCCAAGCGAGATGAGATGAAATAAATTGGCGGCAGGGGAACAAAATAAGATGATGAGGCCGAATCGAGAACGGAACTTGGAATCTATAATCTTTTTAGGATCTTTTAGGATCTTTTCAGTCGGAAAGAAGAGGAACTCGGGAGGTTATTGATTGCGTGGGCGAACGGCTTTCCAATTAATATCCCTGAAGCATCGTAATGGCGTCACTGATACTGCGGCTCTGTGCCCTCAATGAGTAACATACTTGGCATATAGAGATGACCAAATTCCATGGCACCTACGTCTTGGTACTATTTTCATCACATGAGTGTAAAATTTGCGTCGTTAGTCACGGTGAAGCTTCCGGGGCCCTAGGTGAGCCATTCACCTGTAAAATATACCAAGACCACAAGCCTGATTAAGATTGAAATGTGTAAGAGTCTTGTATGGCGGTAATTTGGGGGAAGCCTCATGGCAAATTGCTGATTGACGGTGTAGATAGCAGCCCCCGATTATCTTGCCATGCGCTTTAGTTGGTCACACTAAATCCTACGGAAGACGCCATCGTGATAGCTAAAACAAGTATCAGGGATCATTGAGCCGATTTGATTAGCGGCCGAACTGGTGGAAGAGCAGCTGCATGCCTCTCATTTGAGGAGCAGCTTAGAGGCACACCCACGAACACCTCGACTTACACGCAGGTTATCAATGTGATTGATTACGTTGCTGATATTCTGATACGCCTTTCGAGAATGTGTGGCGATGCCTTCACGGGCAGTCGTACGAGTTGGCCCATGTTTGAAACAGAAATTCGGGTGTTTGGACACCGGGTTTTGCAATTCAAACAGACTGAGCCAGCGGCAGAAACATTCTGGTTCAGATCCGACTCCACGAACGGTAGTGTTGGCGGCGGATCTTGAATCGTGGCATGATTTCTTATTTTCCCTAACTTCCTATTGAGATGTGCACCTCGAGGAGTTGTGCGAAGGTCGTACGACTTGGCTCTTATCAAGTTTGCTGGGAACGGGGGGGTGGCATGTGAACGTTTTCAAAGGGTGTACGAGAACCATCCAGGCTATCGTGATCTGGGGGGGACCTCCATCAACCTGCGACACTTAACGCAGTGAGGTCTTGGTATGGCCAGGGTCTTGAAGGAACTGTGAGAGTCCACATCAGACCATCGTTAGGGCAGCCGACATCAGAACTCATCATCTGAATTAACCGGGATCCGGACTGGTTCACTCTCCCGCGTGGAATGAGTCAGGGATTGTACATTGAACCCTCCACCGTTCACCTGAAATACGCAACCGTGGAGCAGAGATAGCATTTTGCGCGCGCAAGTTGCCGAGAGAAAGTCAAGGTGCCAAGCGCTTCTTTGCAGGAGGATGCTTCTGCAGAAATGAGAAATTTAACGGCCCGTTGACCGACTTTGCAGGTGTCTAGTCGTCATTATGGGCGCCTAGGGCACCAATGTTGGGTAGAGGAGGAGGCGGCAGTGAGGGCAACGCAATTCGCCTGGCTTATCCTGGGAGGACAACGATGAGACGTAGATCATTGATGCTTCTAGCGCAGTGGCACGATTCTACGAAAAAGTCTTCTGAACCCGTCGGCTGGCACCGAGAAAATGGAGCAACGGGTGGGAGGGATTGGCCATCGACCAGAGTTGCGTTCGGGACGGTTTTCCATATCCCAGAGATACGTGGGCAGCATCGAATGTGGTACAACCGCACAAGGAGGCCAGAGAAGACCAATGAGGAGAAATAACCGTTTTTTGCGCTGTGCAGGGGCCCCTTCACTCGCTCGTAGACTTGCATGGTGCCTGGCGGTTTGGCAGCTGTGGTTGGCTGGCTGGGCGCGCTGGAGGCTTGGATGACTCCTAGACACCGATCGACCCGCCACAGGGACAAGACACGACTGGACAGGACCCAGGCAATCCTCCCCTGGCTGTCCCTGTGGCTTGGTTTCAGAATAGTCGCCCAGCCAGTCACCGCCCCGGCTGCAGTCGCTCAGTCCGCTTGACCTGAGAGCGCCCCACTCCCCCATCGCCAGCGGCTGCGCCCACGGACTGTCTGCTGTCCAATGCCTGGACGGGGGAGGCAGGTGTTGGGACCTGTCTGTCGGACAAGTACGGTTCAGACCAAATCTATTGGCCTGGGCATGCTGCAAGCCCGGCCAGTCGCCTGCCGGTGTTTGCAATCCCCAGCTGCCTGGGCGGGACTGGGCTCTGACGGTAGGTGTTGGTGCCAGCGAGACAGGTATTGGCAGCATTAGTCGGCTGTTCGATGACAGCGTCAGAACGCTGGGTGCTGGGCGTCTGTTTGAGAATCGGAGGCTGGCCTTGCTCCCAGGCTGAGGGATCCCTCTGAATCGTACGAGCTCCCTGGGCCTGGCGGCGAACAGGGCCGTCAGATGTGTGTTTCTCCGTGCGATGAAAGCGGCAATGGCTTGGACTTACAGAGGCAGGGCCCGCGGCAGGCCCAAGGCCCACGCCCAGCGGGGGCCCGACAGCTGGATGGGCCTAGCTTCCAGGGGCTGCGAGGGGGCGAGGGGCCACGGCCAAGCCCGCCGACTGCTGGCCCAAATGCTCGGCAGGCGCTGGGGACTGCCACTTGCAGTGCGATCGTCAAAAGGTACATCATCCGCCTTCACCCTTCGTCCCTCCATCCTGCACTTCTCTGGTTGATCCATGGTTCGCTGTGCATTCCTCCCTTAGGAATAACCTCTCCCGCCCCCTTGACTTTCTTCTCCCTCCCTTGGAATTTGGCTGAGCCAACACGACCTCTCTCTTTTCTTCCCATCCAGTCCCCGGCACTGGTACGAAGTCGCCCAACCGCGCGCATTTGGCCACGCCTGCCCCGACTTCACTTCACTCACTCCCTTCACAACAACCAACCTTCTCGTTGACGTAGACACTGACGGCTACTGCTGGCTGGACACTCGTTGTTTTTCGACTGCATCTTGTTGTTCTTGCGGAAATCTCATGTCATTGATCTGACGAGATCTTCCTCATCTCATCTCATTTGGCATAGTTTTATGCCTAGTTCCGCCCGTGACGATCTCAACTTGGATCGACATTCGCACTGCGTTTCCTCAGACAACAAGCTATTTTTCTGAATCCCACCCCTTTCCATATTTCATTGTTCCCTGGCACTTCTAGTTTGGGGAATTTTCTGCTCCATTCATCCATTCAATCTTTCTCAACAACCGGTCTTATTGTTATACTGACGCTCAACCTGCCCATTGACGTCAAAACCGATTCGACTCATTCGCCTTTTGTGTTACGCCCCGAGCAACTGCGCCACTTCAAACTCGAACAAGGCTGGTCCTGAACCTGATACTGATCGCGACGCATTTATTACAACGGCCTCAGCATGCAATTGTTTTGACGATTCTAGGATTACCTATCCACCACAGCAAAGTACTCTAGACAGGCTGGTACTCTCATTCGCATAAACAAGATTCGAATTTCGGCATACTTCACCCTCGCTTCTCTGGTTCGGCCAACGATACAGGACTCCCCGAGTTATTGTCGCCTCCCCAACAATGGAGCAATTGAGTGACGCCTTGGTGCGCGAGGTCGCTGACCCCAACGCCATCGACTGGAAGGCTCCCGCAAACATGTCCACAGGCCCTTCCGCTTACTACCATCACCTCAATGGAGTCAATCAACCTGTTAATATGCTCTGGAAGCAAGTTCTTTGGTGGACTTTGGGTGGTATGGGATTTATCATGCTGGCTATTCGCATCGGAACATTGGTTTGGTCGAAGCTTCGCCATGTGGCCGCAATGTCTGAACCCCGCGAGAAGCAAGGATACTGGAAGATTTCCCAATGGAGCTGGATGCCCTCTCTGAAGAAGCATCTGGTCTACGCCCCTCTCTTTTACAAGCGCCACAACCGCGAATTCCGCCTCTCTTCCGCCATGAACGTTGGGACACTCCCATCTCGTTTCCACTCCCTGATCCTTTTCATCTACAACGGGAGTAACTTTGCTTACATGATGGTTCTTGACTGGAATCAAGAAAACAAGTATGCCCTTGCAGCTGAGATGCGAGGCCGTGCTGGAACCCTCGCTCTGGTCAACATGGTCCCTCTCATCATCTTTGCCGGCCGCAACAACCCCTTGATCGGCATGCTCTCCATCAGTTTCGACACCTACAACCTGCTACATCGCTGGCTGGGCCGGCTCACTGTTTTCCAGGTTGTAATTCACACCATTGCCTGGTGCATTCCTGCCGTTGCTGATAGGGGTTTCCAAGGCATGGTCGACCTCTCTCTCACTCATGCTTTCTACTGGTCTGGCTGGATTGGTACGATCACTATGGTCATTCTTTTGATCACTGCCTTCTCCCCGATCCGACACGCCTTCTACGAGACGTTCCTCAACATCCACATCATCACTGCCATGATTGCTTTCATCATGACTGTGATTCACTGCCTTGACTCCAACCTTGGTGCCCCTCTTCCTCAATATCCCTGGATCATTGCCATCTGCCTGATCTGGGCTCTTGAGCGATTTGCCCGCTTTATCCGCCTGGCTTGGACTAACTATGGCTCGAGTGGATTAACTTATGCTGTCTGTGAGCCCATGCCTGGTGAGGTTACTCGTGTAACGATGCACCTGCCTCGATATGTTAGGATCAAGCCAGGTACCCACGCTTACCTTCGATTCTTTGGCATCCGATCTTGGGAGAGCCACCCGTTCTCCACTGCCTGGGTCGAGCATAACCACGGTTCTCACACCTCGCTTCCTGTCTCCGAGAAGGACCCACTTGCCAACATCAGCCGCGACTCTTCCTCGACAAGCGTCTCATTCCTCGTGGGTGCCCAGACAGGCATGACCAGGGCTCTATACGAAAGGGTTAGCCAGAGCTGCAGCATCGGCGGTAGCATGAGAATCAAGGCTGCCCTCGAAGGACCTTATGCCGGACACCACAGCCTCGACTCGTACGGCCACGCTGTGCTCTTCGCTGGCTCAACGGGTATCACTCACCAACTGTCCTACCTTCGACATCTCCTCCAAGGCTACAATGACGGCACCGTTGCAACGCGTCGTTTGACTTTGGTATGGATTATCCGAGACTTCGGTTCCCTCGAGTGGGTCCGACCCTACATGGACCAGATCCTACGCATGCCCAACCGGAAGGATATTCTTCGCATCCAGATCTTCGTTACACGCCCACAGAACCCAAGCGACGTTACCAGCGCCAGCAATACTGTTCGCATGTTCCCTGGACGACCGAATATTCCCCTTCTCCTTGTCAAGGAGATTCAAGAGCAGGTCGGCGCCATGTGCGTCACAGTCTGTGGCCCAGGTGCCTTGGCTGATGATGTAAGAGGTGCCGTAAGAGCGGTACAGGGCGAGACTGTAATCGACTTCGTTGAAGAGTCGTTCACCTGGTGAACGTTTTTTCCAGGTTCTTGGCTGCTTTTTGAGTTATCCAGGCTGCCTTTTGAGTGATGGATCGATCGTATATACACCTGGGCTGTACTTGCTATTTTTTCTCATTTTTTATACTGTCTATCTACGTCCTATCTGTATATACAACACACATTCCTTTCACCGCCAGTTTTGGGGGGAAAATTACGACACGACGTTGGCGTTTCCATGGAAAAGGCGTTTCCAAGGAATTGCATAATATAGCGAAGCATAGATGGCATCGCATTTCCTTAGTTATTTGAGAATATATCCAAGCAATCAAGACATTTTAGATTACTTCGCTTGCCTTCAAATCGGTCTCTATAAGTGATATATGTTTTCTTTAGCCTAGCCCAGCCTTGCAAACCCAGGAACTCCTATTATGCTATGCTTCTATCGTATGCAATGTGATCATGAATGTAGCCCAAAAACCCAAGGAAAGTCGTCGACGAATTGGTCCGTGCGCCCTTTCTCACGCGGCAAGCTTGGCCAGCTCGTCGACGGCCAGGTCGTCAACCTCCAAGCCCCTAAAGCCTTCCTCGACGGCCCAGGCTCTGCCTCTTTCCTGCTGGTACAGGACGTCACATGACTTTCCTACAACCAGCAGCCCCGGGGGCCGGCTGCCCTCGGTCTCGATCGCTTCGGCAACGTGCCTCAGCGTCGTCCTGATCACCCGCTGGTCGGGGCAGCTGGCCCTCTCGATGACGGCACAGGGCGTGCTCAGCGGCCACAGCGTCCGTTGTGACTTGGTCTTCTTCTCGCCCTCTTCTACCGCCACGGACTCCTCCTGGGTCTCGTCCTCGACGTGCGTGGTCAGCTCCCGCACGAGCCCGACGATGCGGTGAAGTGCCATGAGGAAGACGACGGTCCGCGTGGCGACGAACTCGGGCGGGGTGGGGGCCTTCCCCTTCTTCCCCGTGCCGGTGCAGATGAGGACCTGGTCGGAGACGTCGCGCTGGGTGGCGGGGATGGCGGCGAAGAGCGGCGCGCTGAGGGCGCTGGTTATGCCCGGGAGGACGATGACGGACTGAGTCGAGATCCCCTGGTCGCGGAAGAACTGGACCTCCTCGCCGCCGCGGCCGTAGACGTAGGGGTCCCCCTGCTTGAGGCGCAGGACGGTCTGGCCCTGGCGGTAGCCGGCGAGGGCCATGTCGAGCAGCTCCTGCTGGGCGAGGTCGGCGTTTCCGGGGAACTTGCGGGCGATGTGGACGCGGGTGCGGCGGGGGATGAGGTCGAGGACGCCCGCGGGGACGAGCTTGTCGGCCAGGACGAGGTCGGCGGCCTGGATGGCCTTGTGGGTGGCCTGGGTGAGGAGGTCCGGGTGGCCGGGCCCGCTGCCTGCGAGGATGATCTTGCCCTGCTTCGAGGGGAGGGAGTTGGGGTTCGGGTTGGGCCCGCTGGTGAGGCTGTTGTTGATGGTCCCCTTCTCGGGGGTGCCGGGGTAGGACTTGAAGATGGCCTCGACGTCGTCGTCGCCGATGCTGGCGAGCCTGCGCAGCGGCCAGTACTCGCAGACCTGGCTCAGCCACCGCATCCGCCGCGTCTTGGCCTCGTCCTGGGCGCCCTCGAGGACGAGGCGGTTGAAGTTTGCGCCCTGGCCGCCGTCCTCCTCGAGGTCACCGCCGGCGAGGGCGGACTCCTGCTGGACTCTTCTGCGGACCTCGCCCAGCCTGGCGCACGCGGCGCCGAGGTTTGCGGGGAGGGAGGCGGCGATCTCGCGGCGGATGCGCGAGGCGAGCTTGCACCCGCGGCCGTTGGTGGTGATTCCTATTTGCAGAGGGCCGTCTGTGTGTGTGGAGAGGAGAGTGAAGGTGCAGAGCTGCGGTGCGTCAACGACGTTGACGGGGATGCGGTTGCGCTTGCAGACCTCTGAGATGCGCTGGCCTGGTTTATATGGTTAGCCTCTGGACTTCTTTTCTCTCTCGTTTCATCCTCCTCTGTTGACCATGAACTTCAATATCGTCTCAGAAAGAACTTACTTTGAGGATCGTGTGGTCCGGATGTTACAAAGACACTGTCGACGACATGGCTGACTTCCTCACGGCCTAGCGTGAAAAGATCGCTATCCTCGAACGCCTTTTGCAGCCACTTCACCTCGCCGTCGTCGATTCTCTTTTGCAGGCTGTAGTGTACTTCTACATCGGCGGGCGCCACAATGATGGGACGGGCGTCTGCGTTCAGGGACTGTGTGCAGCGGGAGGCTGCGAGAGGGTTTGTGCCGATGATGAGGTGGGTGTTGCCCCTGCAATTGAGGCCGGCGAGGAGGGATACAGGTGGCGACCCCTCGGTCGAGGGTCCCTCCATGGTGTAAGTATCTTGAGATGGTATAAGAGTAGATTAAACGGTCGTGATGAAGCTCGTGAAGACACAGTCTGTGTGATCCAGATGTCTCGCCGAGTTTGCTCGTTTATGCTACAGGTGAACAAAGACAATACTGGTGGATCAGCTGGGACAAGCAGAGCCTATATGTATCGATCTCAGGCGAATCCAGGTCCTCGAGATGATAGGCGAGTGTGAGTGCTTATCATTTGGTTCCGCGGAGAAGCCTCAACACTGATATGCTAAACCACCCAAAAGTCCATCTCGGCCTAGCGACTGGGAGTATTTGTAGATGTCCATTGGCTCCCGGCAGCCACTGATAAGCAGCCTATCAGGGCGCCAAATGGCTGCTGAACCCTGATTGCATTGCTCCGGCAGATGGCGCCCGAGTCCAAGGCAGCAGATGGAGCAATTGTGATGCCGCAATCGGCCTTGCGCGGAAATTGACGCCATACCGCTCCGAGCCGGCATCCGGGCCAATCATGAGGGACATATTGTCAAAGGCGTTGAAAATTTCATGAGAGGAATTTTCAACTCTATTTCCCCCACGTTGCCGCGCTTAATCATCCCTGATCCCCACTGCCGGGAGCCGTAGTCAAAGGCCCTGCTGCCAGGCTGCCAGGTTAGGCAATGGGAAGATATCTTAGACAAGGATAGAGGGGCTTTGGAGATGGGAGTCAACTCGAGGCTGTGAATAATCTATTGTTCATGTCCATTACAGAGGCCGTCTAGGCTCGTTCTTGTTCTACATTACTATACATCATATGAGGTGGTACATCAGGTTATAGTACAGACATATACAAGGAGAGGTCATCATCATCATCCGCTCATTGCCTACGATGCCTTCCCAACTCCGGGTCTTCTCCGATCACCTCGGCATCAATCTCCTCACCCAAGAGCCTATCTCCCTCCGCGTGGATTCGTTTTAGCTCTGCCAACAGATCTTGCTGCCGTTTTCTTCCCTTTGATTTTCGATCATGCAAGACAGTCTCTGTAGTGCCGTCCTCGTCCATGTCCACCCTCGTTGTCCGAGGTTGCCTGACTTCTGCACTGGCACGTTTGCCTCCATCGTCTGGAGCACCTGACCTGACTTCTTTCTTTGTGTGAGACTTGGCCCCCAGAGCCCAGAGATCGCCCCATCTCGATTTCCTGGCGTCGCGATACGCCAGCTTACTGAAGCTCTTGGGTACCGTCCATCGTTCGATCGTGCCTGCGGGTGTGCACACATCCATCGACACATGTCCCTTTCGTTTTATTGCCGGTAGGATCAGGCGAGGTAAGGATTGCATATCGGGCTGCTCTTCGGATTTCTCGTACCCCTTTTTCGCGAGTTGAGTGGCTTCCTTGCCTGGGAGAGCCCCTTGTCGAGAAACGCCTCGCTGAACGGCTACATAACTGAACTCAACCTCGCCACGATTGTCAACCTTCTTCCTTAGCATCTGATTATAAAAGCTGGGTCGCACGAATCTCTGGCTGAAGTGGCAAAAGTCTTTGCGACCGACACTCTTGCCGGGCTCGGGATACATGGGGCAAGTCCCCTGATTGGTGCAGGGAGCAATAACGTGTCCCGGTTCTGGCTCACGGTGCCACGTAGGGTTGAAGTCCTCTGGAGCGATCCGAGATTCACCAGAAGGCGTCAACAGGAACTGGTTCAGAATGGTATCCCGCGCATGGGCAACAGCCTCGAATCCTCGCGGGTGGGCTTTTTCGATGATGATGAGAACACCCCCGTCCTTCTTGAGCAGGTGCCACAGGTTGTTCAGGATCGCCTGGCGACGATGGCTTTCTTTCTCGCGGAGGAACAAGTGTGATGAGATGATGATATCGTAGCTCTTCCTTGGCTGTTGCTGGCTGCCTCCCTCAAGGCGAGGGCCGCGCATTTCACCCGAATGCTCATAATCAGGCATGCGAGGCAGAAAGGTTGTATCGTGTAGAAAGGTTTTCAAGCGGTTTCGAAGACGCTCCGAAGTTGCAATGACCGTTTTCCGACCCGGAGGTTGATGTCCCCTTACTTCACCCTTGTCTATTAATAAATTCCACTCTGCATTCAGAACTTGCTCCCATGCGAGAAGCCCCGCTCCACCAGCTCCCGCATCAAGAACGCTGAGGCCCTCGCCCTTGTTCTTCAACTTCGACTGGATCCAATCGCTGCCCAGACGCTTGCGAACCTCTCGGACCGTGGCGAGGATCGAAGCATATGCTGCTGGCATGAACCCCGCAAGAAAGGCATCAGCTTCGATTTCGGTCATATGGTGCTGATCTGCCAGAAGCCCGACACCCCCCATGTGGCCACTCCTTCTCCTTAGTACCATTTCTGGAGATAGAGGCAATCCAGGTCCGCCATAAACGCTCTCTGCAGCCTCCCTCACATGGTCTATATGCGTTCTCCTCAGAAGATCAGTAATGGGCTGCACAAGCTCCTCCTGAGGTAGAAGCACTTCAATTGGGGTTCCGTGAAAGCGGCCTGCTTCGGTAAGTGGGTGGTATCGCTGGCGAGCTGACCCATGTTCATATTCCTCCTCTTCAGCAGCTGTCTCCTCCATGGCAGGCCATGATACTTCCTCCACCCGTTGTAAGTTTTCCACCTCAACTTCGTCCTGCATGGTCTGAGCCTCTACCTCCCGCTGCTCCTTCTGAGTTTCTTCGAATTGCTGAGCCAGTTTTTGAAGGGCATCGTGCTCTCTCTGACTCCTTGCCACGGATTCAACATAAGTGGGGGGCTTTTCCAATGATCCTTGAGCTTCTAGCGCAGCTGGTCGAGTCTCGTCAGACTCCAGACTAGTTTCTTCTGCCTGTATCGTGGATTGGTCCTCTCCTGATGCCTCTTTCGGCGGAATGTGGTATGCCACTTCCTCGTAGCGCCCCTCAACCTCCCGCAACAAGGTGGCTTCATTATCTGGCTGCGATTTTACCGGCGGTTCCGAGCGTCCCATATCGGCGTGCATGTGTATTCCAACATCCTCAGGGTCCGTCTCTCGAAGCGGTGGCCCGTATAAGCGAACGTAGAGTGCATATTCTTCATCGTTTAGGTAATTCTTGGGTAAGGTGTCACGAAATCGTTGCTTCGCATCCCGGACGACTTGCTCGATAGAATTGCTCGGTTCGCTCGCTGCGGTCGCGGCCGCCTCCTGGCGTGCGCATTTCGAGGTCGAAAGCAATCGTAATTGCAGTCTATTTTTTGCTTGGAATTGATCAAGGTGGGTGTAGGCAATGGAAGGAGAGTATGCCGATTGTGAAAGAATGGAATGGGATCGAATTAGTAAAGTCGTGGAAAGATGCCGCTTTGAACAGGCATTCCGGATGCCCCTCGAAGAAAGCATTTTGCAAAAAGCTGTATTATGCACAAAAAAAAAAATACACGAATAGCGAGGACGGGAATAAAAAGCTAGCCGTCCCTTCGTCATGGATAGCTTTTTTCGACGATGCGCGGTGGCACGTGATTACTTAGATGGAAATCGCTTTTATCACGGCTCTTATTGGCCAGCTACTGTTAGTTGGTTGGAAGCATCCCCGCAAGTACTATTTAGATATGCGATCTGCTAGGGCGGAGCGAGCTCTGAATTGAAATGCAATTCATCGAAATTGTTTGGCAGACTGCAGTACTCATGATGGTTGAGAGGCCAGTTTCCAGGGTAGAAACTCCAAACTTGGGTTTCAAGGCCTGGCTGATCTGACGAGTCCCTATCTCGACACAGCACTCGGACCAATATCGAGAGGGCGCATGGAGAATGGAAACATCTTGATACTATCGCATACCGATCAAACAAAAGGCCAACTACGACCCTATCCTAACGCCATAGAAATTCCACACATTCACAAAAGAATCCCTCGCTGTCATCATGCCTCTACTGCTCGCCATCCAAATCCGCCAATGTCCTAAAGGAGGGCTTTGGTGGTGCCGGCTTACCATTTGCACCCAGCTTTGTTGAGCTGGAACCGAGGTTCGCCCTGATATCCTGGGCTTTCCTATGCTTGTTGAACCACGAGTTTTCGGCTGCTGCAAGCGCATCAAACTAGAGATCAAAGTTGGTTAGCATGGCCATTTCTTCACCATCCCCATCCCATGCCTCTTATGATGATCCACATACCGAAAACAGTGTGACAAAATATAGCTCGATGAAAAGCACAACCATGTTCAGAGCACCGAATACGCTGAAATTTCTAGGGAGGCTGAACCTAGAGCTAGCCGCCGCCCTCTTACCGCCGCCGGCGCCGCCGAGAGTGCGCCCCGGCTTGCTGAAGGCCTCGGTGGGCTTCCCAGCCGGGGTGGTGTCAGAGAGCTTGACGGCCTTGGAGATGGCGGAGCTGAGGGACCCGGGGTCGGCACCCTTGAGGGTCTCGACACACTCGGTGCCGTGGAAGATCTTAAACGTGGGCATCGCCGACACGCCGTAGGTCTTGGCGATAGTCGCCTGGTGGTCGACGTTGACCTTGGCGAACGCCATCTTCTTGGGGCGCGAATGCTCCTTTGCGAGGCGATCAAAATGAGGCCCAATCATCTTGCAAGGTCCGCACCAGTCGGCGTAGACTATGAGATCAAACGCATGTCAGTCCTTCGGTTCACTTCGGTACCTTGGGGGAGCACGTACAGTCTACGATCACGACATTGGTGCTCCCGAGCAGGCTATGCCACTCGCCCGTGGAGCCAATATTGATAGGACCGCTCATGATGAAAGTCGATGCGAAAAGATTAGATGATGTTTCGTGTCGTGAGATGGAAGAGAAGGGCAGCGAGCTTGTGAAGGGACATGTTGCTTTCTCAGCCAGCCGTTCCCATACGCAAGTTCCCCCGGTTGCGCTAGGTGGCGTGAACCCGCATTTGGTAAGCGGTCAGCCGCGCGATCTCAGATTCTGCCGGACAATTGTCCCGCGATCCAACTTTTTTTTTATCAAACTTACACCGACTAGAAGCGACCTCCAGGTCTGAACAACAAATTCTCGGGTCGGCAAACAGCAATAAAAATGTCGTACCAGGAGCGCCAATCAAAGGTAAACTAAACTAAAAATTAACATAGCCAATTGGGAGCCCAAAGAAAAATACTAACAACAAACTAGAAGCGCAAAACCGGCCACAATGATGGCGGCCGCAGCGAGCAAAGATCATTCAAGCCATCGCCTCACTTCGCACCTCGCAATGCTGGTCGGGATTGGACGGTGTCTGTCGCCATCCCCAGCAGTATCCTAGCCAAGTAAGACCGCGACCGAATACCTCATTACCAATTTCCCCAAGGCAAACATTCTAACTCTAGCTCCTCTTCCAGTTTGGCGACCGCAGACCAGCGCATGTCGATCCCCGGACGAATCGCCCGCGCCCTCTCCATCTTCTCCGTGGACGAGGTCGTCATCTTCGACGACTCCGCGCCCGCCACTCGCCCTCGCGCCTCAGACCCGGCGGCATACACCGGTGACACCGACCCCTGCCACTTCCTCTCGCACATCTTCTCCTACCTGGAAGCGCCGCCGTTCATGCGCAAGGCACTCTTCCCGCTCCACCCCAACCTGCGCCTGACCGCCCTGCTCCCCACGCTGGACATGCCGCATCACCCGCACCCCAAGGAATCGCTCGAGTACGCCGAGGGCGTGACGATCAAGGGGAAGACGAGCACGGGAGCTGGCACCCTGGTGGAGGTTGGGCTCGAGCAGCCCGTCGAGGTCGAGGACAAGATCCCGCCGTCGACAAGGGTGACGCTCAAATTCTCAGAAGACGAGAGTGAAAACCCCAAGTGCGTGCACCCGGACGCCCCCCGGACCGAAGGTGGCTATTACTGGGGCTACAACGTGAGGAAATGCGGCTCTCTCTCCGCTGTCTTCACCGAATCTCCCTACGAGGGTGGCTACGACATCAGCATTGGCACATCGGAGCGCGGCACGCCTGCCGCAAGAGCCTTCCCGTATGGAAAGAAGGTCATATTCAAGCATTTACTAATTGTCTTTGGCGGGCACAGAGGGCTGGAGTATGCGTCAATGAATGACGAGGACTTGGCTGGTATGGATGTACAAGGTCCCAAGACCAGGGAGTTATTTGATCATTGGCTCAACGTCCTTCCCGATCAGGGAAGCAGGGCCATCAGGACAGAGGAGGCAGTACTTATCGCTTTAACGGCATTGCGGCATATTTGGTATTCAGACTAGTTTACCCATACCCTTAGCTGGATACCCTTTTATTGTTCGAATAATCTGTCACGCTGTGGCTATCCCCGTCAAACCTGGGTCTCTAAAAAGTTTGAGATCAATATCTTTAAGAGGCTAGAGCTAAGGCAATATGCGGGAGGGCCTATCTAGGACGGTATAAGCCCAGGGTGTCGGCAAAGGTACTGTTGTTGAGGACTGCTGGGATGAGATCTCGCCCATCTTGCTCAACCATTACCCTTGTTCCTACCGTGCTTAGTCCAAAAATTTCGATACCCCCAGCACTATCCTGTACACTTAGAATCCTCTCCTGGCAGTGTCGAGTCGAATTGGGTCTCGAGCAGGTATGGTCATAATTGACGAAGAATGAATACAGCCCAGCACCGTAGATCACCACATCTTTGGATCCCTGCATTTTTATTCCCCAGGAAGTTTCGCAAGGTTCAACTGACGGTCCATCGCAATCCCGATTAAAATCAGGGTCATTGAACTGCGCTAACGCTGGAAACGGGAATCGGGCAAGAGGTCGTGGTTGGAAGTATGGGCTCTCAGTCTGAAGATGACCCATATAGATGTTCTGGGTGTTCAGAAAGTGATACTGGTACATCACATGATGCTCGGAACCGGTCGCACTGAGCCAGATGCGACCTCTCTGTGACTCGATAAGTAAGCCCCGGCCGGCGAAAATAGTCAACCGCTGGTACTGATCATCCTCCAAGTCGTGGTCGGCAACCCAAAACCAACAGTTTTCTGAGAATAAGCCCCCAGATTGTGGAGTGAGATGCATGCTCATAAACGCTGCGATGCATTTTGGATTGATTGCATCGTCATGTTGGATGGCGGGACATTGCGGCAGCTGAAGATCTGTTCCTGGAAACCCCCCGATTCTCGTATGTATATCCCACATTCTAGACGGGACGCCATCTGAGAAAAGGTTGTATTCTATAAGAATAGCACCAGCACAAGGGCCCCTGGTTGACACAAATGTATCGGACCACTCGATGCGGCCAGTCTGTCCAGGAATCCCTACTTTAACGACGGGCCGAGGGTTGCTGAGGTCTTGAAATCTGGGACCGTATGCCATGATTGTTGATGCCATGGCCTCACCCACAATCCTCGAGTTGGGAGGTATGTACACGGTGTCGGTGACTAAATATATTCCGGCATCGAGATGGAGGATGAGCCCATGTTCAGCGGCATACTTCAGCAACGCATTCAACGCTTGGGTGTCGTCCGATGAACCGTCACCCTTCACCCCGTATGCTCGCGCCGAGAGGAATGCAGATGCAGGAAACTCTTCGTATTGCGGCTAGCCCTTGATTTAGCTAGGTGTAATATACTAAAGAGGATGGAACTCACCTTTGATTTTTCGTAGTATTTACCTCCCTCCAATAGCAATGGCTTGCGACTGGAGGGAAGATTGTAAAAGCCCGTTTGGGCGAAAAAGCCGATACTATCAACGACGTGGCCCTAGATGAGAGTGAGTACCGACAGCCATTTCCCAATTTTTCTCAAGGTTATATGGCAGAAGGGCTTTTACCATGATGAACATATCACCTTCGCCTTGTTTGACGTCGTCTTCTGTCAATATGATCCCGTCGGGCCCAAGAAGAATCTTATTGACCGCGTTGAATTTCACGTTGTCCATGACTAGCGTCCCGTTGGCCCCTTTATTGTCATTGATCTTCCGCGTAGTGGTGATTGCGGTATCAGTATGCTCGAACCAGCTGTCGAGTAGGGTGATGGAGCCCGTCGAAGCCTGCTCCTCGTCCATTTGGATGCCAATTCCGCAATCTTTGAAGTAGGCGCCCTTGAAAGTCCAGCCCCAGTTCCACTTCATACTGATCGCAATCTCCGAACCATAAAACCATAGATTCCTCGCCGTGTACTGTTGATTTCCAAGTATGGCTGCTGTGCCACCACCAGAAAAGTAGAGGTCATTGAGAAGCCCACCAGAGCCTTCCTCAATAAAGAGTCCAGTATGTTGGTTCCCCGGAACGGTCGACAGGAGAAACACACAGTTGGTGATCGCGGTTGCCTGGGACGAAGGCCAATGTATCCCAACAGCTCGAACATCAGCAGGCATGGCTGTAGTGTCGAGGATGAGATTCCGAATCTGTCGGAAAAAGGTGTTTGTGGAATTCCAGGCAAGCGAACCGCCCGGCTGGTATGGATTCGCATCAATCAACCCAAATTTCTCCTTTGGGAAAATTGGTGCCGCCTTGATCGTCGGACGGTCAGTAGGGTCGCCGATGAGTTGCGTGTGGTAGAAATCGATGATGGAATCGGATATAAGGTAGGTTCTGCATCGCAATTAGCAACTATTTGCTACGCACCGTGGATAGAGATTTTTGCCATGACATTCTCACCCTGAAGGGAAGTAGACAGTGGCAGGGGAAACAACACTGCCTTTGCAGAGGCCAGGAGCACATCTTTGCCCTGCTGAAATGGCGGCATTGATAGCCATGGTGTCATCGTGGACTATGTTCTGGTTAATCATATACGGTTCGCAGATCAAGGGCCTGGTCTTGGAATACCTCCGTCTCCAATTGCGCCAAAATCTTTCACATTGCGAAATATTTGGTAAGCCGCACCGGATGGATGATATGGAGAAATGCCATAGTGTCCAATATCCTCCAACCAAAACTTGGCGTTTGCTACCCCCAGGAGAGCACAAAGAATAAGAGCGCGGAGCGCCATGAGCATCGAGTACTTGGCCTCCAGCATCGGTAGTATATGTCAACCGCCTCGCGAAGCACGTCTGCGGAAGAGAGGAGAGAAGGCTAAAGAAGAAGAATAGTGAGGGTATGAAGAGTGAAAAGAGGAGGAGAGGCAATAGATGCGACGATGAGGTATACAGGGTTTTGCGATCAAGGGCGGCCAGTCAGTCTATCGGTCAGTGGAAGCTATCCCGTCTCATGAGACTGTAAAAGCGGAACCCAGACAAGTTTGCTTTGGTGTATCCCTTCTCAAGCGAGGAAAGAGCCGCCCGGCTCAGTGGATTTGGGCCGCCAAATTGCATCATCTCAATGAGTACAAAAGGCAGGCGGTAACGACCGAGAAGCCCATTGAGACTTGCGATTGTGAGTTCTGGATGGTTGATTGACCGATCTGTACAATCGGCACCTATTCATTCTATTGTCGAGGTCCCATTCAAAAAGGCGGATGCAGGTGGTGACAGTCGTCTGAGAAAAAAGAAGAGAGAACAATGGTGGGATGTGATTAGGATACATGCCTATTTAGGTATTGTTAGCTAAAGAATAGAGCCATTGTTGAATGCCCATAGCCTCTATGAATATAAAGTTGAATCACACCTCCAAGTGTTCCCGGTTTCTCCAGTCAACGCCATCCGATGCATACATTTCCTCAGAGGAGGTTTGTTTGTATTATATTTTGAAATGTACGACCCATTGATGAAAAAAGCAGAGAGTAATTATAATAGACAATCTCTAAAGAGACGAGGGGCGCTCAGCATCCAGTGCGACTGCGCTCTTGAGGCTCTCTCCTCCCACTGGGGCCTTACCAGCCCTCTTACGAAGGACATTCTCAATAAAGGCCTCGCCTGCCTTGTAGGAGGACCTGACTAGAGGTCCACTTGCACAGAAGAGGAAGCCCATTTCCATGGCGCGCTTGTGCCACATGTCAAACTCGGCTGGTGTGACATACTTTTCAACCTTGAGGTGCCTCTTGGTGGGTCGCATGTACTGTCCAAACGTGACAATGTCAACATTGACCTTTCTCAGTTCTACAAGTCATCATTAGCCTTTGTTTTCCATAGGGAGTGGGGACACGGATTGCATACCAGCGAGAGCATTCATAACCTCATGCTCCTGTTCTCCCAGACCAAGCATCAGACTGGTCTTGGTGATGATACCCTCTTGGCCCTTAACATCCTTGACATGCTTCAGGACATTCAGACTCTGCCGGAAAGTAGCTCGCCTGTCTCGTACATAGGGCGTAAGGTCCTCGACCGTCTCCATGTTGTGAGCGTAGACGTCAAGTCCACTTTCGGCCATGATTGCAACCATGTCCAGATCGCCCCTGAAATCGCCCGTCAGGGCTTCAACCAGGAGAGACGGCTTCTTCTGCTTGATTTTACGGATGGTCTCGGCGAAGTGATTGGCACCACCGTCAGGCAGATCGTCACGGTCCACACTGGTCAAGACGACATACCCAAGACCCCAGCGGGCCAGGGCTTCCGCGGTATGCTCGGGTTCGTGGGGATCAAGCGGAGCAGGGGCCCGGTTGGTCTTCACACTGCAGAATCGGCAGCCTCGCGTGCAGGTATCACCCATCAACATGATGGTGGCGGTAGCAGCGCTCTTGTCGGATCCACCCCAGCACTCGGAAATGTTGGGACATCGAGCCTCCTCACACACAGTGCTCAGCTTCAAGCCGCGCAGATCCTTCTTAATCTTCTTATAATTATCATTGCCCGCGGGAATAGGTGTCTTCAGCCACTCGGGAAGTCGCGTGATAGTCCTCTTCCTGCCTTCAGGGCCGACTTCGGCGGTTCTGAGTGTGTAGGCCTCGGTTGCGGACAGAGGCTGATTGGAAGACAGGAACTCGCCAAAGGGGGCAACAGTGGTGTCCTTGAAGTAGGTCTTCCGCCTGGGCTTCGATGCGGTGCTATCCGTTGGGTTGGCGGTGGGCGGGACGGTGGCCATGCAGCGGATGGAGGGGGTCGAGGAAGAGAGCACCTTGCGCAAGGGGGCGCGTGCCCGATGCATTGAGGGGGCTATCGAGGCCATGACAGATTTGAGCTCTACCGACAATGCCTTGGTGATGCGGCAGGCAAGTGTGAGTTGATAAAATTGATGATGGTTACATGCTCTATCCAGATTTCGTTATCAGGAACGGCGAAATTCCAGCGAATTCGGATGAGTACCGAGATTTGAGCCAATGAGCATGCGCCGCCCAAAGCCGACGGGACCCGTAGCGACCCTTGAACCCCTCAAGGCAGCCCGAAGCTGCGGGCAGAACCGCTGTAACCCAATCAGCAGCTCTCTGTTTTCTCTGACCACGCTGGAAGCTCCCCTGCATTGCTTCCATCGGCAATTATTAATTGTCCTGTCTTGCCCGAAGCTCGGCCTGCATCATCGGCTATATGCGCTTGGCTCTGCTTGACAAATAGGAAACGGAGACATTCGGCTTCGTTCTACATTCTATGAAGTATTGCACATGTACTTCCAGATACAGGATATTCTGTACTCTCTCAGATCTATGATCAAGCAACTCACGCCAGTCGATATGAGGTCAGTCCCCTTAACACATAAATACAGTGACAGAATGCAGATAAGCACAAGGGTTGCAGCGTAATCATCCCGTTCCGTCTAATTATCACGAATGCTATGTGCAATGAGGACCACCTAGACATCCTAAAGAAATACCACAGCCTCAATGCTTCGCAACAATCCACAGGTGCTTCTCCTGAGTATCGCCTTCAACCTCGCTCTTCTCAATTGTAAACCCGACCTGCTTCAGTTTCGCGGCCGTCTTCTCCATCCCCAGCCCGCTCCAGAACATCCAACCCTTCTCATGGAGCCACGACTCCATCACACCGCTAGACATCTCGTCAAATGAAAAATTCGCAATCAAGATGCCGCCTGGCTCCAGCCATTCCGCAATCTTATCCAGCATCTCCTCTTGCTCCCCCTGTGGCAGGTGAATCAGGCTGTAGAGAGCCACCACCGCCGTCAATGACTTGGGCGCAAACGTCAATTTGGTCATATCACCAGGCTCGAACCGCACCCGGTCGCCGTACGCAGCAAGGTTCTCTCGCGCCAACCCAATCTGCGTGTCCGACATGTCATTTGCGACCACCGATATCCCGGGTGCCCCTCGCTCAAGCAGCGTAGTGAGGAAAGGAGCCCCGGATCCGCACCCGAGCTCAAGCACCGACGACTTCTCGTCAGCGGCGGTGCCCAGTTTGGGGATCCGGCCGAAGAGCTCATCCAGGTAGGTCATCCGGATGTGGTTGTGCCGCTCGGTCCAGGAGTTGTAGACTGGCGCCATGGCATCGTAGGACGCCTTGAGGCGGGCTTTAACATTTTCAGGCAGAGTTTGCGTAGTCATGTTGCTAGTTGATTCTAAAATACTTCCACAGTCCTCTTTTAATATCCCTTGTGCAGGTGAGTGTATTTGACAGTCTGTGTTCTAGTAACAGTTGTAAGTTGGGCGGGAGCCCATACATATAGGTGAGGGGTGTTCCCCATCACGGCGTGACTCACGGATAGAGCTTTCAACACTAGATACGTTCGTCCACCAACAGATATCAAGCCTTAACTAGTATTGCGACATAATAGAACCTAATTAGTCTTTTTCTTTCTCCTCCAAACACATGATGGACTAAGAAAGCATGCAACTGCGTGGTGGATGCTATTATGGATAGTTGAATAGAACCTTTAAATGCATATATCGAGGTCCCACATAGTATCGAGTTTAGCCTCCATTGGCCCCATTCCTGGCCTCACCTCATCAATTTCATGCTGGAGAAGGGCAGTGCGGTTGTGAAACCCCCAAAAAAATGCGCCAAGATGGAACAAGCCAAATCTGCAACAATAAAGGTGTTTAGACAGTTCCCAAAAGAACTCTTCCGCCTGAACAATGGGTGGCAAGTCCTCCTGCGTCCGCGGACTAAACGCTCCTCAGGGCATGAGATCACCACCAAGCCAAAAGACCTTCACGACCTCCCGGACAGCAAGCCTCGCGTAGAGCCGAAAGCCTTGGACCCGGAAACTTACAGTGGTGCGTCATAAATGTGTGCGGATACAGTACAGATCTAGCAGAATATTAATATTATGCAAAGGCCCAAATGGCGCCGCAATGTTCCCGAACACAACTCATCTACAGTATTGTGTACTAGGGTTTCTCCGCAAAAGAAATCCCGTCATATACAAAATTCAAGAAGGTAATATTTGTGCAATTTTAGAGGCACGAGTAAACGGCTAACAACTAAACCAGGTACAAAGCTGCCAGAAGAACTCCTCTTAGTCCGCGAGACACCAGATGGACGGAACTGGTCGCTGCAACCAGCACAAGAGATGACTCTTGAAAGTAAGCATCGCTATAAAATCAAAACCGCATGGCAAAAAACTAATATACTTGGCTTCACAGATTTAAATCTCAAAATCACACAGTTCCTAAGGGACAATGGGGCAGTGATGAACCGGCAGCAGTTCCTGAAAGTGTATCCCAAAGCTACTGACCCACGATCGCCTCTGCATCCCCTTCCGAAAAACTGGAAGGTGAAAAGGTAATCGTCTGATTAAAGCGCAGCGGGGTTGGTAAATGGCATGTGTCGGTATCCTGTGGATTTTTGTCATGTATTTTTTAGGCGTTTCGGCACACGAGAGCATATGCAGCGGTATATTTCATTGCTTTCGGCTGCATCTATTTGTAAAATTATTATTAGACTCCCTCATGAGCAGACCGAAAGAGTACGGTGCTCTTGAGTTGTTTCATACAAAACAGTCGGGCGATTCACATTAATCATCAGGCACAATTATGAGTATCTTGAATATTCTTTGTATATTTTAATCATCCAAAACTACCAAACCGCCAATTGAAAGAAGCGCTATCCCCTTAGAGATAGCGAAAGAAGAGAAATGTAAAAATTGATCCCCAAACCCGTAAACTCCAGGCCCAACAATCCTGTGTCCAAGAAGCCAGCGACTCTAGTCAAGGTATGTAGCACACCTTGATAGGTCCACTGGATTCCACCATGGTCAAAATGGGTATCAAACCAAGAATGAAAACACGCCCCCTTCATGTTCGCCGCTAATATAAAGAGAAGAAGAAATGAAGAGAAGAAAGAAGAAGAAGAAGAAGAGAAGAAAGAGGCCGGAACAAACCTCATTGTCTCTATGTAAGAGAGACAATGATGGTTGCCAGAATGTGCATTGTTCCGCTCCAGCCAGCACAAATGAAAGAACCATCCTGCAGAAAGATGCTGCTTGACCGTATCACAGGATGGTGTCGAAAAGAAAGCCGTCCATGTGCAGCTGTGTAATAAGACATTAAGTACTCAACTGCCTTGGGCAGACCAAATCGCAGAAGTGGCGAACTCGACTGTAAAGGAAAAAAAATGAAGAAATGAAGAAAAAGCAAAAGGTGAATCAATGCCATTGACAGGTCAGTGGCCATAAAAGAAGAGGAAAAGTGATAACCAGAACGCTTTGGATACCGACATTATCGAAATGCCTTGATGGTCGGATATATCGTTGAATCGTTCATCGTGGAGACAAGAAACGTAAAAGCCCACGAGATGGGCTGACACATAGAAAAATTTGTCGAACAGTTGCCATGTCAGTGAGCAGCTTTACATCAGGGCAACGACAATAGCGCCCAAGGCACCAGCATATGCAATGCGAGCGACCTCGAGGGCAGAGGCAGCTCCGGGCTCGTTGGTCGAAGAAGGCTGGGCTGAACCAGAGCCGGTTGCGCTAGCGCTTGTGCGAGTAGTCAAGCCGGTGCTGCTGCTGCCAGGAGTTGTCGTAGCAGAGGTAGTAGTCGTGGCGTTGGGTGTCACTGCTGACTGGGCATCTGCTGCAGAGAGCGTGATGTACTTGGTACGAGTCAAAGTTGATGTGAGAGTAGTGGTAGCCTCATCATCTCCCTCCGCAAATACGAAGGCAGGGAGGGCGGCGAGAATGATATTCGACAGACGCATGGCTGCGGTTGTTTGTTTGCTGTTGCAAGTAAAGATGTGGTTGTATGAACAAGTTGATAACGCGTTGTCCTATAGACTATGTTCGAAGAAAATTCAAAGCAGAATTCCAAATAGCCTGGCTGGTTGCTTGCTGATATCCAAGGATCAGATAGATGGCCTAGGTGATAGATGGCAAAGGCAAAACGTTTGAAGTGAGAGGCTTTAGATATTCGATATCTAAGAAGGCTTGAACAGTACAATACTGAAAGAATGTGTGTGCAGCAGCTAAGGGTGCAGAGCAAGTCAAAAGACTGGGGAAATGAAGTCCAACACGGACACACGAGGCTAATAAACAATTTGCGAAGAGGATGAGACTGGGGGAAGGGAAGGTCAAGGACGGCGCAGGATCCTGTTGCGGACGGATATGGGGGGAGGGTCTCCCTTCGGTCACTTGCATGCGGGAAGCGCCCACATCACTCAATCCGCCCAGCCCAGTCTCTCACGGACCCAGCTATTAGCGTGCCCTGGGCGAGTCGGCCAACAGCGAAGAGACAGCCAGAACAGAACAAAGTGAGCAGCCGCTGGCCTGTCCCTGTCAGGTCGTGACCTGTGACACATGGCTCAGAGACTGAGGGTCTAAGTCCAGGTACTTGTGATGCTGGGGAAGAGAGACCAAGCAGCGGTGGGAGCTTGCCTGCAGATACGGTACCTGGTACCTTGCATCCAACCTGACAAGGTAACGCGGTGAGTCGCGGAAATGAGGGTCAGGTACCAAGCCCATGTTTCACTTGCAACCAGACCCAATGAGGGTCTGCCCTTAATGGCCCGGGGCCCGCTCTTTTCTTAGCAGCAGGTGCTTTAGCAGCTCTTGCTCTGTTGGGCTGTCTGACAGGGCAGGGAGGGTGGCCATTGGCTCTGGAGCTCTGGCTGTTCTGTTCTTAGACGCAACCACTCTTGCGGATCTCCTCTGTGCGTCTGCCAGCGGTAGTTCTTTTTTCGACTGCCATGGCCAAGATCCGTGCCTTCAACAACTCTCCGTTCGCCGGGGCATAAGCAAAATAAACTCCCGCTTCAACATGGCAAGCCCTATGTGTTTTTAGGAACGCCAGCCTTGGCGAGCTGTGTGGTTGCTAATTTGGGTGTGGGAGAGGACGAGAGGCGGCCTGGCCTCAACCAGGCGGCATTTTCGTCACGCAGCCTGGCGAGATGGACAAATTGGGCTGTTGGCACTACGCATCCCAATGCTCATGCGAGGGCACGCGCCCACACTTCACTTTAGCTTCAATTTGCGCGTGGAATTCGTGCCTGCGGGACGGAAGAGCTCTGCAGAAGGGCTGAAGATCCTCCCCCCATTGCGCGCCGTGATTCGCCAGGCGAGGGCCATTCATAAAAAAGTCTGCACTCACAAAGGCTGCCAAGGAGACAGTCAAATTTGCATAATTTGCCCCCGCGAGTCTGATTGGCAGCCTGAGCCGTTGGGCGGGCTCCTTCCCCTCCTTGAAGCCGTGAATGGCCCCTCCCCAAAAGGCCGTAGCGTGGGCGGTACCTGCATTTTGATTAGCACCACCCGCTTCGTGGCTACCGCCTGCCTTCTCAGGCGGTTCGCTGCTTCCCGGCCTGGGGAAAGCGACTGCCGTTTCCCAAACAGGCATCGCCTCAGGCACAGGCGCACCCTTTCGTGATGGGCTCATTTTCGCGTGATTTTCCCCCTCCATCTTCCCTGCCCGCATGCCAAAAGACTGGGTACAGAAGAAAGCCTGGGCGATCACCACAACGGTCGGCCTGGATACACACATCGATCCTGACGACTGCCTGTGGACAGCACAACAGCGGTGGGCGGAGTCAGTTGACCTGACACTTGTTCGCCCTGGCGCCGAGCGTCACGTCTCTTGTCCCGCCGCCCAACTGTTTCAACTTCCAACCAGCCAGAAACACGTACGCAGGTTAGGTCGGCGCCTCATGTGCGAGGGAAAATTCTGTCTCACGCTCTTTGGCCCAGTCAATGGGCTAAAGCCCCACGTTGACACGCCAGGTCTAATTCCCCCCTCACAAAGTCGCCATCACGCCAAGCCAGGGCCGAAATGACGTTCCCTCCACCATCAGACTAGGCGACGCGTGCGAGACACACGAAAGGACAAAATGGCCATTCCGCTTTGCCCACTCTTGCTTCCGCGCTGTGTGCCTTGTTGACCGCTTGCCCGTGCGCTGCTCCACAGAGCTGAGGTTCTACATAGTACAGCAGCCGAGCCCAGATCATACATGCCCTCAGCCGCACAGGATGACTGCTTTTCGCGCCAGCTCAGACGGCTACTCTCCATAGCAACCAAGGCTGCCTGCGCATTAACCCCGTTCCTGCTGGTCCTGTGATCCGAGCCCTTACTTGAAGCCGCGCATTTCATGCTGGGTGGCTGCGCATCCAGGGCTGACTGACGCCGGCATCCAGCAAACATACTCTGACCAAATCTCTGAATCGTCTCAGAGCTGCTAGTACTTGACATGTTGCGTACACTGTTGAGGAGTAATGAGGCCCAAAGGTCCCAAAGAGGTGGACGGAGGCTATTCCATGTCCCAGACACGGCCATGCACGTTTTACCTCAGTTTTGCAAGACAGCTCTGGGTCTGTACCATCGGACGAGCCCGGGTTCCTGCATTCGAAACGCATGGATCTCTAGGGTCGTCTCCTGTCTGAGCCAACTTGCATATGTACGATCTAATCGTGCTTGGGTTGACATCGTCACCACTCCACTGTAGTGTGCTCAAGAAACATGCTAGTGTTAGGCGTAAAGCTTCTACTCTGTAAGTCATTTCCATGTGATGGGCAGCATGAGATGGCCACCGCTTTCAGCAGCTCTGGTACATGCCAAATACCATATCAGAGAATAAGTAATAATGGCGACGGGTCCTATCAAATCAATGGCTGCAAACCGAGTTTGGACTGCGACTTTTCTTTGAGCACTGCCATCGCTACAGTTTCACTACTGTATCATTTTCTCAACCCATATTCGGTAGTGTACCGATGCCAAAGGACTAGAACAACAAGCCTTGTCGGCTTCTATGTGGTATTCTACAACTTCTCTAGCCAGTGACTTGTGTTGTTTTATGAGTGTGGAGGGGATGGGTTGTTCACATGGGGGCATAGGTTCAAACAAGTCGACACTTTCTTCCGATTGGATCTCGTCCTTCTTCCTTACAATGTAATGACAATCAGGAGCGAGACCAGCGACCTGGGGAGCGAGCGCACCTTGATTTCGCGGCAGCCAACGATATCAAGACCGGCGAGGCTCCGAGATATGACCCACCCAACCATCGGCCATTGACAACATTTGGGCTTGCTCCATAACATTCCCGGGCCGCACACCTGCTATTGGCAATAGTGGGCGATCACAGCGCAGATAATTGTTGCAGATAGGTTATCAAGCAGAGGTATTCATCCGTGAAGCTCAGCGTGCGGATGTGGCTTGACTACCCCTAGGTCTCCGTTCTGAACCTCCAGTCCGGTACACAAGGCAATATAGAGCTCCTTGAGGTAGGATAGCTAACGAAAAGAAAGACACTGCTTGACCTTTGGGCGCATAAGGCCTCATGGGCATAACCATGTCTAGGCATAGC